TGGAAGTGTTGCAGTTTAATTTCTCACATCTGTCAGTCATACTCTCATTAAAAGCTGTGTATAAGAGAAAACTGCAATAGTACACAGTGCCTATTCTACTGTAGTATATTAGTTGCATGGATCACAGTGCATTCTGTAATGGGCTAGAATTACCTATAGACACAGCTTTTTTAATGATCAAGTAAACCAAACATTAAATTCCTCATGACAAACCTATTTTTCCATTGCTGGCCTTTTCAAGTATTTCAATAAAATAACTGTGTACTGTGTCTGTGTTTGTCTTTTTCTTCTTTTTCTTTACCTTCCTGTGCCCCGAAAGCTGGAGTTTACCAAAACTTTGTCCTTTATGTAAATGGATGCTGCCAGTGCCCTCACTTGTTGGAGGTCACATATCTTGGCAGTGCAGTTTCTCTCATGCCTCCATTAGAGGTTTATTTCTGATTTATATCAGAGGACTAAAGTGCCTTCTATGATACTTAAAAGCTGAAATGCAAATAGTCAACTATGAACTTCAAATTTTTGTCAAGGACAAAGACTGGGAGAAAAGACCAAGTAGTTCCGTGGTGTGTAGGACGCTGTGGGCAGTGAATTAGTTAATATTTTCGTGTTGATTAAAGAGGCTCCAGCAGTGCGGCGTTCCCGGGGGGCTGTGGGGAGTCCCGGGATGCTCCCCAGGGAATGCCCCGAGGGACCCCAGCCCGCCCGGGACCGGCCGCCAGGGGGCGCTGCCGCCGAGCTCACGGGGCCGCGCTGAGCTGGGACCGGCGGGAGCGGGAAACGGACCCAGCAGCCCGGCCCGGCGGGAGCGGCAGTTCCCGTGAGGAATGAACGGCCCCGTCAGCCCGGCCCGGCGGGAGCGGGAAACGGGCCCGGCAGTCTGGCCCGGCGGGAGCGGCTGTTCCCGTGAGGAATGAACGGCCCCGCCAGCCCGGCCCGGCGGGAGCGGCTGTTCCCGTGAGGAACGAGCGGCCCCGGCCTCATCAGCCCGGCCCGGCGGGAGCGGCGGTCCCCGTGAGGAACGAGCGGCCCCGCCAGCCTGGCCCGGCCGGAGCGGGTTCTGCCGTCCCCCGGAGGGAAGCGCCCCTGCCCTGAGGCGCTGCCTGGCCGCCCTCAGGGCCCGAGGCGACCAGCGCAGGTGAGGGACGGAGCGGATCCCCGCCCGCTTATATAAAACAGGCTTTCCCCAGTGGTTTGGGGACAGGAATTTTCTTAGGGAACAGCGTACAAGTGTTGCTATCCAGCTCTGCTGTGGCCTCACCCAGGCGGGTCGTTGGTGCTCCCTGAGGGAGCCCTGGTGCCGCCAGCCAAGCCCTCCTGGATCCTGTGAGGGTTTGAGTTACCGTGAGGGGAAATTCTTCTTCTCATGAGTTACCGCGAGGGGAAATTCTTCTTCACTATATAATGAAGAATGTCCAAAAGTTAGCTACTGCAATTAAGTGCTGGGAAGAAGGAGCAGCACCCCAGCCCACTTACTCTCAACAGCAATTTGTTTTCTTTCTTCTGGCACCGCCAGTTTTCTAATAACTTCTTTCATTGTATTTTCCACAACCAGACTCAATTTCTTCCTGCTCAGTCTGATGCATGAATTGGCTGACCATGGTGTAAAGTCACTGACAGGACAAAGACCTTGATTCATCTTCCTCGGAGACACATCCTTCATGCTTCAGCTTTGACCTCCTGTCTGAAAGCTTGTCAGTTCAGGATTAATAGTAAGCAAGACTTGATTTTATGTTGGAAATTAACCTTAAATTACTAATTGGTCTCAATTTCAAGCAATTATTTTGTTTAGGAATGAACCTGTGTTATGATCCCAGCAGGTGACAGGTAAAAACAAGCAGACATTTTAAAATACCACAAGGCTGACCTGATAGGAGAGCACCCTTTTAAGACAACTGCCCCAAAAAAGGGTTAATGGCAGATTTAATTATTTCCCTAACAAAAACCAAAAAGACAATTCGAACCAGCTGCAACCAGTAACAGTTACTGTGGCAGAGAGGGGTGCAGGTGGAAAGACTAGTGCTTTTTCAGAGCTGCACTTGGAAAGTTCTAAGTACAACATGGAATAGGAAGGGTCATGATGATGGTCTTTCAACACAAGTTAGAAATCACAGAGGAGATTGGAGTTTATTTTTTCCCACTATTCCTTCACTCCAGGAGGGAGAGTACCCATGAGTCAGGGGGAAGCCAAATGGTAGCACTTATAGTCTGATTCATATTGGTTCTGAAAGGTAAACTTGTGTTGTCCCAGCACAAGGAGTGTGATGCTCAGAGTCCTTTACCACTGTTACCTTTTGGGCTTGAGTTTAAGCCCCTGTCTCCCATCTGTGGTCCTTAGAGGTTTTTAGCTGAAGGAATCTGAGGGGTCTGATCCAGTCCCAACTGTGTATGTGCTATCTAATATCCTCCTAAGGTTGTGTTTGTGTGCAGCATTTTGGGGTTTTGATCCAAAATTTTGCATTTTCCTTCCTTGCCTCCCAAGTCTGGCCAGCTGGCTGAGCTCTGGTATGGAAATCAAGCTGAGTAGCTTTCTCCACATAGTTCCAATTGTCAGAACTGGGAAGTTTTGTAAAAGCTACAAGGGAAGAATTGGGAAGCTGCTTCTCAGAACTGGGAAGTTTTGTAGCTTTGGGGCTCCTTTGGGTGGAGGCAGGACTGGTGCACAAAGTGTTCAGGTTCGCCCCAGAGGGCTGAGCTAACAGAGGCTGGCTGGGTCCCTGCTCTGAGGGGGTTATTGCATATTCATGGACTGACCTTTTGAGCCACTCCCAATGCAGGGAGGACGTACATCTACACTTTGTTCGCAGTATTTGGAATATAAAAGTTGCCTATATGACTGAGTGTGAAAACGGATTGGGGTTTATTATCTCAAGTCCTTTCTGTCTGCATTTCTTCTGAAGCCCCTCCTTCTGTCTGCATCTGCTCTGGGGTGGCCCAGAACCCCCCAGTTTATCCAGCAATTACTGTCTTCCAAGGTAGAGTCACCAGGGTATGCAGTGGGGAGAAATGGCATTCTAAATTAAGAGCCTCTCACACACTTGCAAGATGATAATTTGTCTGTAACAAAACTCCTCATTAGAATACTGTTAATTTCCTTTCTGTGGCAATTATAGCACAGCACTAGCTCATATGTGCAATGTGCAGAGATATTTTCCTGAAAAAAAAAAAAAAAAACCCAAAACCTATCATTACCACTAGTGAAAAACAGTCCTTAGAGAAGAAAAATGAACTTGTAATTTTGCAGCAATTTCTCAATTTAGTGGGAGTTTGGTGTTAAGGTAAGGAGTTCTGGGGGTTCTTGCTGTTGTTGATTGCATTCCTGTTAGACTTCACAGTTGGCATTTTCCCACTAGCATCTGGAATCAGAGATGATACAGTCCCCAGCTGAGTGGAACCTGTTACCCCTGAAATTCAGCTCATGTATTCTCTCTTTACTCTAAAAACTCACTTCCCTCCTCCCTACAGACATAATGACTGCTGTTTCTTTCTGTTGGCATAGCATATTTTTGCTTATCCATCTGTTTTGAAGTTTTGATGAGGTTTAGTTTTTCAATCAAAAAGAGATTGTTTGTATAATGACTGTTTAGTGCCTGGAATATTTTGGCAGGAGCGGTGTGAGTGAAGTGGGTTAGTGCTTCTCAGAAGCGCTGGATTTGGTATCCTGTTCTTATGCTTCAGGAGAGCAGGCTGGACAGGCTCTAGACCAGGGAGAAATGGCTCAAGGAATTGCCTTTAAATGTGCAGAAGGTCTGCTCTGTTTCACTGATGTCACTAAGGGGACAGAAGCCCTCCTCTTTGTCAGCTGCACTAAAGACCTCAGAAGAGCTTTTATTTTGTTGTCATTTTCCTACCTGAATCCTGAGCTTGAAAAGTTCTCTTCAGGTCCAAGGGCTCTGGTTTTACTTCTCTGCTGTGTGCCCTGCTACTGCGGCATGGAAGGTCCTGCTCCTTTTCCAGAGGTATTCTAGCTGATTTGGTTTTGGTTTTGTGATTGGTTGATTTTTAAACAGGTTGTAGAGAAAAGAGGGGCTTCCAGCTTGGTTCTGTACTCGTGGCTGAGGTGTGTCTGATCTGGTACTGGACCTTTTCATGAAGAAAACACCGCCTGTGGTGCTGGACTCTGCTCTGACTGTGCTCTGCCTGGCTCTTAGCAGAAAGCAGAGACACTGGCACCATGTGGATCAGCCTGGCTCTGCTCGCCCTTCCCCCTTGCCAACCTGCTATTTCTGTACTTGATTGGGAGAAGCTAAAACTGCTGGATTTTTGCCGGCAGTCAAGGCATTCCTCAAGTTCCTAATCCAGGCTCCAGATGGTTAAGTTGTCCATCCTGACATATAGGAACAAATAATTATGGTAAAAGATGTAAACCCCCGCACCAGCCTCTCACGGCGAGCCTCTGGGACAGAGAAGTCTGTAGGGAGCCCCGATGAACCGGCACGTCTGGTCACCTGTCCGCGGGCAGGAGGGCAGGGCGGGAACGGGCCGGGCCCCGCCGCAGGGGCTGCCCGGTGCCGGTGCCGGTCACGGCCGAGCCTCGCGGGTCGCCCCGTGGGAGGCGGTGCCGGCCCTGGGCAGGGGCCGCCCGGCGCTGCCCCCCCGCCGCCGCCCAGCCCGCATCTCGGACGTGCCGCAGCTCCGGGCTCTGCCTCCGAGCGCCCCCGGGGCTCCCCCCGCACCGCGAAGGGCGGACCCCCGTCCCCGGGCGATGGCTCGGGGGAGGCGCCGGTCGTGCCCGGGCCGGGGGCACCGCCCGGCCGCAGGGGCGGGAGGCGGGGAGGGGTCACTGCCCCGGCCGGAGCTCGGCCGCGGGGATGCCGCCCGCCGGCGCTGCCCGCGCTAATTGGATGTTCCGTGCATGGAGGATTTGCTCCCCTCCCGGCTGCGGGAGTCATGAAGGCAGGCTCGGCTGCGCTTGAAAGTTTGCCAACCAGCAGCTAGGTTTAATTTCTTTAAGGATCTGGGGAGAAAGGGGGGCGGGGGCTGGAGGGGGACCGTTTCCAAGCATGGGAGACAGGCTGCCGGAGCCTCACGCCAGCTCTTCCCCTGCTGTGGCTGCCAGCTCGGAGGCGGAAGAAATCGAGGTGCTGGACTCCGAAGATGTCCTACCTATGGCCGCAGAGGATGTAAGTTTCCTTTGCTCGGTGTCTTCCCCCCTTTCCCCCGGGCCGGGATAATCGGCTCAAGCTATTCATAGCTGAAGCCCGGGATGGGCGCAGGAGCGGGGCCGGTGACCCTGCGGGACCAGGGAAAGCCGCCGTCCCCGCCGCCCTCCGCGCCTCCCGCCGCTGGGTGTCTGCGGGCTCCAGCAGCCGCCGGGCTGGCTCCGTCCCCGGGGCCGCAGCTCCCGTCCTTCCCAGCCCCGGCAGCCCGGACAGGCTCCCGGTTCGCTGGGTGCCCGCGTCCGGTGGGTGGCGGCTGATCGGGCAGGGGCATCGGACTGCGCTCGGACGCGACTCTGGAGCCTGGCGAGGAGCTGACGCCTTGTCTCGAGGGGCGGCCGGGGGACAGAGAGCTCCTCCAGAGTCACAGCCTCCCTAAAGGTGACAGATGTGAAACGCTCCCGCTCTCGGGAGCTGCTCCCTCTTCCAGCCCCCGAGCAACAAAGAGTCGAGTAAGTTTTCTCTCGGCTCGGCAGGGCTGATGGCTTCTCTCCACCCTCCGAGCTCTGCAGGCACGTGAGGGTGGGATAACTTAGCACCGGCTCTCTGCTCACCCGGCCCAGAAGGACGCGAAGGGGTCCTGCGCGCTCCAGATCTGCTCCTGCCGTGCCGGGCGGCAGTGCCTGCAGAGCTCGGGCAGTCGTTCTACATCTGCCGGACCCGGAGGCAGGAGCTGCCGTGCACCTGTCTGGGAGGGAGTGAACGTGAGAGATCCTGGTGCATCCCAGGACTGCTCACAGCTCTCATTCCCAGCAAACTTGGCTGGGATGAGGACTGAAAAGTGTCTGCTCAGTCTGCAGCGGTAAATGCAGGGTCTGCTCCAGCCTGTCAGACATAAAGCAGAGACACTAAATGTCTTTCTGATGCGGGCTTTGGCTCGGGTCTTGCGCCACTACAAAAGGGACACTTGGGAGCTGAACGTCCAGCAGCGGCACATCCCCTCGGCCCTCTCTCGGCCTTTTTGATGCTGCTGGAGGAAGCCGCCCAGGCATGCTTAGGGACAGAGCCTGTGTTTCACCCCCCAGCCCTTCTGAATCACCTAGAATTCGGTTGCTGTTGGATTTTCCTCCCAGAGGGCAATGGAGGAAGTGCAGTTGCTTGCTAGAGCTGCATTCCCAGTCTGTATTCCTGAGCACAGCGCAGTCAGGAGGGAGCGTGTGATGCAGGTTGACCTCTGCTACAGCACTGCCAGACAGTCCTAAGAGGAGATGCCTGACTCAGGAGTGTGTGCAGCTATGACTTGGAAAGGGTGGCTTTCCTGGAGCTTTTACAGTCCAGGTTTCCAAATCCCATTGCTGGCTTACGTCAGACTGTGACCTTTTCTTCTCTGACAAATTTTGTGCTTGTCTGGATGGTCCTAGAGGAAAGATTTCCTGTTGTGATACATGTGAGCCCCTTGGAGTTGCTCCAGCCTCTACACAAACGCAGCCATTAGCAATTCAATCCTGCCAGGGGGCCCAGGAGATGCTGAAATGCTGAGTGCCTGGCAGGATTGGGCTCCTGGGACAGGAGCTGTCCCTCATGAAGTCTAAATTCTCATCCCAGTTCCACTGCTGCCTTCCTGCTTGACCTTGAGGTAGGAGAGCTTGGGTCAGATCCAGCTTGCAGTGTCTTGCCATTACTTGCATTGTTATTTGACTCTGGTACCTTGTTTTCTATAATCAACAAAACTAAAGCCTGCAGCTGCACTGGTTATGGGAAGCTGCTGAGACCTGGCAATAGATGATGTGACAGAAGCCTGAGGTATCATGTATCATCTGCAAGTCAGAAAAGCAGGAAGCGGTGCAAATGCCCTCCTTCTACTCGGCCAAGATTTCCTGCTGAAACAAGCAGGCTACAGAGCATCATCTCTGAAAATTTCAACTGCTCTGTGCTACTCTGTGCCCCCTGAGACCTAGCTGGGGGTTGATTTGTGTTGTTGCTATTACATCTGAAAGCCTGATGGAAGCTCTCTGGCTTGGCCAGCAAGAACTGACACAAGGTCAGTTCTTTATGTGTTATTAACCACAAAAATATAACACAGTGGAGGTTTGGCTGTCACAGCCTTGACAGTGTGTAACAGCTCAGCTGTGATGTCATTGTAGCTCTCAGAGCAGCATTCCATAAAGCCAGGATTCAGACAGTCCCAAAATGTTCTTTTTAAAGTGCTGGACTGGTTTATGATGATAAATGAGAGCTTATAAATGGAGAGAGACATGGGGAGGAGGGGAGCCAACAACTTAACTAATGAAAAGTAATTCAGTGGCCTGATACCCCACTGTCTCTTCAGTCAATTCTGCTTTAGATTTGCCTACCATGTGAAAGGAAATGTTCTTCTAAGACTAGATAGGACTCTAACCAGATTTCTGCTTTGCTAATAGCACTGTGAGGAGATTTGCTTATAAAGGTCTGATATTTGTTGTTTTACTCAATTTGTTTCTTTTTTTGGGAAGGTAAATGAGAAAACAACAGACCTGGAAATGTTCAAATGTTTCTGGGGATCCTAAGCCAGTAGTTACCCCAGTGCTGCCCCATGGCAGTTGCTGTCTTCTCAACTGGCCCCTAAATCCAGGATAGATGAGAGCCTTAAACAATTCAGTAGGAATTTCCTCTGTTTCGTGGGACAGTGAGACAGGGAGATGAGTTGATATCAGTCTCTCTACAAAGCAGAAATCAGAGCCAGTTTCCTGCTATTTTTTTCTGTTTCCAAGTGACAAGGACTTGTGGTGTTCACATGGTTGTGAGCATCAAAGTGGAGCTTCCTCCTATACAGCATTTTAAAGGCAGATCTGATAGAACAGAAGATGTGGGGTAAATCCTTGCAGTGGGCTCTCTCCAGCCTTCCATCCTCCCACCTTGCACAAGAGGAATTAGCTGTTTTTCAGATGTGGACATGTGAGGCTCAGAGAACTGATGCCTTATCAAAAGCCTGCAGAAAGCCAGACTCAGGAGCAGGCAGCAGACAGGGCTCTGACAACCCAGCAAAGGAATTGATGGGTCAGTGTTGGGCCACAGGATCTCAGAAAGTGATCTGGAAAAACATTGCTAATTCATCCATACACTGAGCTTTCTTGATCTCTGTGACTAAAAACCCCTTTTTTCCTTGCTTGCCTGCAAATAGACATAGTGGGAGAAAACAGAATTAACACATGAATGTTTTGAGTTCATCCAAATTTGGATTTGTAAATGAAAACTGTTCTCCCTGTGTTTGGTAGATTCCCCTTCCTCCTCCTCCGGAAGGGTAGGTGATTCTGGGATGAAGAAGGATGTTGGAAATGGCATTAAATAATTTGGTTATTTCTCTGTTAGAATATACTTCTACAGTTTACTGCATGTTAATGTCATTGCTCTTATACCTTCTTTTTACTCTTTTTCCTCCCTTACGCTGCCTCTCAGCACTGGAAAGCCCTATTTGATCAGGTATGTGAACAACTGATATATTCTCTCTGTCTTGTGAGCAAAGAGCCTAACCTCTGGTTAATTTCCTCTGTGCTGGCTTTCCCCTGCATTTAAAATACAGCCTAAGAGAAATGTGCTGCATGCTCCCATGCAGGATGCTGGTGTGCAAGTCATAATTATCACGGCTGCTTTGGGCCTTTCTCTTCAGTTCCTCTTCAGAGCAGCCAGGGACAGGAGTGAGCCCATTCCTGGTGGCCCAGGGACTGAGCCAAGGTGCTGCAGCAGGTGCTCTGTTTCCTGCCAGTTGTGCTGTCCTTGCTTGGGGATTAAAGGATCTTCTGCTCTTTCAGGCAGGCAGACTAAGACCTGTAAAACCAGCACAGGGTTCTTTGAAATGGCTCCCCAGCAGCTAAACTGACTTCTGCAGGGTTACATCATCCAGGCAGGACCTGCTGCTTTAAACTTGCACAGGATGAGCAAAGAATCTGCTTCTGTACCAAAGACTCTGGTTGTGTCAGGTAAATGCCTTGGGACAGATCTGTAGCTGGCTGAAGTCAGCACAGCTCTGAAGAGCTCCAGACTGTAGCTGCTGAGGTTTTGGGTTGTGGGTTCTAGTTTGTAGATGATGTTTTTAGCTGCTTTAATGGACGTGTTTGCTTTGTGGTATCCCTTCCATCTGCCGGGTTGAAATGCGTTGCAGCTATAAACAGGGATTTTTCTAGGGTTGATTTGCTTCTAAACTGCAGCACTCTCTTGATGTCATAAACTTTTGTGCTGTTGTGTGTGCATGTAAATGTCACCTTCTGTGAGGGAGCTTCCTCTGACGCTGGCATCATCCTGGCAATAAAGTTCGGATGGGATTTCATCCCTGCTTTATGAAGCGATAATCTTGCCTCTGTGTCTGGCTGCACTACAAAGCCAAAGCTGTGGTGCAGCCTGCACAAGGATGTCCTTGGTACCCTGGGGGTCCTGTTATCATCCAGCTATTAACTGGGGCTGCCTGTTCTGATGAGTGCTCATTTATACAGGGTTAGCCGTGACCAACTGCTAATCCACGTGTCTGGACTGCAGCAAGTTGGCTGTGCTACAGTCAGCAGGCAGTTGGGAGCTGGGTATTATGATTGTTGATCACACCTAAATTGTGTGGTGTGTTTGAATCTGCTGGGGCTCAGAGGGGATGCTGCCACTGAAAAGGTTGATGCACAGTAAATTGCTTGTGGTCTGGGCTGAATGTTTGTTTCAGCCGCTTTGAATTCTCCTGTCTCCAACACTGGCCCTAATTTGGAGTCTTATTCTACAAGCATCCTTTGAAGTCATTGAGTCCTTGTGGGATGGGGCTGTTGGCTGGTAGCTACCTCAGGCTCAAAGAGAGGAATCTGTAATTTCCCATTGGACTTATATGAATAGTAGATGGGATTTTTTCCTTTTTTTTTTTCTTTTTAAGGGGAGGGAGTTTGACTGTTGGATGTACAGAACACTAGCCCAGTAACAATGGAACAGGCTGTAAAGACAGACCTTCAGTAATTAGCTGTGTTTCAATTAGGGCTGCAGCTGAATTTTAAACCTTGTCTGTAAGACTTTATTATCAAAGAGAATGCAACCTGTGACAATTACACATAAGTCCTGAATAAATCAATGATGTCCTTGTTGCCTGTGGGCAAAGCTGACGTCTTCCTGGAGTATTATATCAGCAAAGCAATGCAATTAGTCCTGCAGTGAATTGCAAGATGCTGTTTGTCATGGAACAAGGTTGCTATTCCCAGCAGCAATGTGCTAGGAGGAGAGGGGAGCACTTTGTTTAGCTCTGATTGGCATACATGTGAAACATGAGGACAGTCTCAATAACTAGAGAAAGCCCGTGTGTTGGCACTGGGAACAGTTGCAGCTCTCCCTGGCAGTCAGGACCTGACTGGGTGTGTACTTGCAGTGGCAATGGGTGGCCCAGGGTGCACGGGCATTTGTGGCTCCTGGGCTGGGACTGAGGTTTGGGAGCCACCTGAGCTGAGACACGTGTGCCCCTGCAGTCACCACCACCCAAGAGAGCCAGAGAAGGCTCTGGAGAAAGTGTTAAGAGTAGTTGTGAATTTACAGGCTGGTAGTCTGCAAGTGGCTTGTTGCTGTTATACTCTGTCATCCCAGAAAACTGTGAAGGAGAGGTCAGTGCACACACCCCCAGCCTCTGAGAGGGGAATGAAATTATTATTAATGGTTGTTTGTTTGGTTTGGGTTTTTTTTAGGAAGTATTTTTAAAACTTTCATTTAAGTTTACTGACCAAAAAAAGCAGCAAGTTTTCTGTTTAGACATACAAAATTTAAGGGGTTTGGTTTTTTTATGATCTCCCCCTCCCCAGCTTAAATTAAAAATTCAGAACTTCTTGATGGAAAAATTGCTGCTCAGCCATAAAGCAGTGCTTTTTGCTTGGTTATTTTAGGAGAGAGGAGTGACTGACCATGTTTTCTGTAGGAATTTTTTATTTGTTTTGATCCAGCTCTAATCTGTCACACCGGGAACTGTCAGTATCTCAAACCAAGATCTTCAGCCACTTGCAGACTGATTTATTTAGGAACTAAAGGAACTTAAATTTGACAAAAGCTCAGACCCAGAACTGCTTCCTATGCTTTGAGGTTCAAAGAAGCCCTTCCCAGGACAAAACCCTGACTACACTGAAGCAAGTACCAAAATTCCTCCTGGATTTAGTGGGGTCAGCACTTCACCCAAGAGTTTGGGAACAGGCAGACTCACAGCTCTTCAGTGCTGCAGCCAGACAGTTACAGTTCAGCTGCTGCCTCATACTGTGCTTGCAAGATGTGGTTTTTATTACAAGGCCATGGCCCTCGGGCAGCTCTAACTCACTTTTATATGGGAACTTTTATAGGGATTCATACATTTATTTATTGTGCTCATAAACACCCTCCACCCCCACACACACATTAGCTCTGCATCTGCTGCCTTCTGCAGTGCCTGCACCATCGCTGCGTGCTCTGTGCTGTCTCTGTGAGGAATCTGAGCTCTGAGCAGAGCAAGCTCTCTCCATCCCTCTGCAATCACTTGGGGTTTTCTTCATTTGTTCTTCAGTGGCCAAAGCCCCATTTTTTTGTTAATCTTCTGGCAAAGCTGAAAATGCGACAATCCCAGGAGCAGCTGCTGACAGTTTCATGCTTCTCTGTGTTAATAAGATTTGTTAATTGCCTTGCACTCAGACTTGAGAACATCTCCCAGTCCTTGCTGAAGCCAAGTTGTCTGATGGTTGGAGCGTGATTCTGCAGATGAGTGTCCTGAGGGGCTGTTCCTGCTTTGCTACGCCCTCTCTGGGGCCTCGGGTGCAGTTCTTTGCCACCGTGTCCCCAGTGCCCCTGCTTTGGCAATGACTGCAACTGCTTGGTGTTACCCAGCCCTTGGCTGGGCTGGGTGAAAGGGGCTGGATAGGACATCAGTGTTCTTGGGACAGACCTGCCTTCTGAAGGTGGCTTTTAACCTTGTTAGATGGTAGGAGCTTGTGTCATCTTCTCTGCTTCCCCATCCCCATGGCTGTTGAGATTTTGAGGATGAATTGGCATTATCAGCCCTCATCTTGGAGTTCTCACTTCTTCTCACCCATACCCTGGTTTGTAGTCATGACAACAAACTTGTTTTAAATAGACACACAAAAAACTCTCTAAAAAGACCCTCCTTACTGCCTCAACACCTTGATCCTATTGCTTGTCAATCCAGGCTGTGTTTTTGTTGCAGCTGCTTTAGAAATCCTAGATTCCTCCCTGAGACTTGCACGTGGGTGTGATGGCAACAGATGAACAGAGTTTATGGGGAATGCAGAGAGATGCCAAGTTACCCAGTCTGTGTAGGCAGCTAATGGAAAACTTGAGCTCAGAAACAAGGCTGTAGAGACAGACATGCACTTGCCAGGAAGAGTTCAGTTGCTGACACTACCAGCAGTGGGTGCAGCTGAACCTGCTCCGCCATGGTCTCATAAAAGATTAAAATATGCTTTAAAAGGTGCTGACTTTGCAGCTGCCTTAAATCCAGGGCTGGTTCCTGCACAATTGAAATTGCAGAGCAATCCATAAAATTGGGGCAGCTATTATCATTGTTGGTGGTAACCAGGGAAGGGAATTATTTTGAACTTAATGAACTTTTATGTTAACTGTCCCTTTTTTCTGGGTAGCCTTTAGTGCAGGCAGGCAGAGCTATTTCCCACGCTGTAAAAGAAATTCCAGTTTATTTACTGTGGCACTGTTGAGCTAAACGTGACCCTTCACTTTGAAACATTCCCCTGCCTATTGTTGCTGGCAAACCCCTGCCAGCTGTGGCTTCAAGACGTCTCCAGGCAGGTCTCACTGAGCTGTAGGCAGTGGTTTGTGCCTTGAAATTTCATCTCTTTCTCTAACAAACAACTTGTGCCTCACTGCTGGTTTGTTGGATCACTGGGAACAGGTGGAGCACAAACTGTAATATAAAGAATAGGAAATTATGGCAGTGATAGCAGCAGTGTAGCCGGGGGGTTGAGCCCAGGGTTTTGTGTAGCCTTCAAGTCCTTGCCTGAATTTTGGACTATTGCTGCCGTTATAGTGTTCATTGGGACATCTGTCCCCATTTAAATGGAGTGGTGCTGCAGATAGGAGGCTGTGGAAACTGCGAGTAGGAAATAGTCATCAACTTTCTACTTCATCTGCTGAGGTGACTGGGGAATCAGAGGTGCTGGTGGGAAGACTGTCCATGGTGATAAGAGATAAGCCTCCAGGCCCCAAACCAGCGTCTGCCTCGTCTGCCATATCAGACGCTTCTGAGAGTGTGACAGGAAACGTGTCCCCTTCTCCCCCTCTGCCAAGCTGTGCATTGTAAAGGGGAGAGACATTTTAAAATCTACAAGGGTCTCTACAATGCACAGAGGGGGTTCTGCATCTGCCCCACGCCTTGAAGTCTAATCTCATTTACAGTTGTCAGCGTGGGCTGCTGGAGGAGATGAAAGGCGGAGGACAAGGAGGGAGAACAGATTAGTCCCGAGCAGAGGGCACGGGGAGTG